GTCACCCATGACTTTCCTCAGAACTCACGTTCCAGGGCACTTTAGAAAAAGGCTTGATATGGAAATTGTGGAAAAAGGCTTGATATGGAAATTGTGCCCTATTCGGATTTCGCAGACCACAATGAGTTCCATCTCAATCCCACAGACAATTCTCTCCTTATTTTTTCGGAAAAGGTCATTTTGCCTATGTTGCCATTTAATACAGCCACTGACTAAATCAATTTATCCAGCAGCTAAATGACGACCAATAGAGGACCTCGCTTGATTAGTAATCAGTTGAGCCCCATTCCATCGGATTACCTCGAAAATACGGTTGTCCAAGCTTAAGTCAAGGCTATCAATGAGTTTCCGGTCAATTCGGTACCCAAATCGTTGACGATTGTTCTTCAGCTCTTTGATACCTCCAGCTGCTCATTTCCTTCATAAATCTTCCTTACCATAAGTTCCCTTACGTTTTTCATCAGATTCAAATTGGGACTGTTAGCCAGCCGAGGCAAAAGGTCGTTTTGGTGCCGACCAACCAGGTCTGAGTGCTCCGGTAGACGTGGATCGGGGCATTACCCAGCATGAATACGTGATTCTACTGCCGATTCTGACGCCAGAAAGGAAGAAAAGCATGGCGCACAACGAATCGATAACCAGAAGAACATAAATGAATACGTTCACGAGAAGAAATCGCCGCCCATACCATGACTGCCCTTCCTTAGAAATTTCCTCCGAATGACTGAGGTTTATCCTTTCTCAGACCGTGCCAGTAAAATTCGTTGCTACCACAGGAAAACTTATTTCATCGGACAAAACAACATGTAGAGTTAATCATCAAGAGAAGGAAGAATGAAGGACAAGCCATGAAAAGCTCAGACTTAACGATCACGTTCCAAGCAGTTGTACTCGAGACACTGAGCTTCAAAGAGGACTTGATATCCGTATATGACTTAGTCGTATTCTTCTCTTAATTCGTTGCTTAATTTTTTTCAGAAGTAAAGAAGAACGACCCCTTTTGTTACGATACCTTGAAGGATTCCCATTACCTTAAATACCCATTACCCCAAATTGGAGAACATTACACAAATGAAGCAATTATGAAAGGTGTAAATGGAACGCGACGGGAAAATATGAAGTGGCTGTATCATTTGGCAACATAGGCAAAGTGACCTTTCCCGGAAATGAATTGAACCCGTCTGTTCCTGAGATCGAATTCGAAGATCGTCTACAAGTTACGGTCCGGATAGAGCACAATTTCCATATTAAGCCTTTTCCTGAAATGCCCTTGAACGTGAGTTTTGGTGAAATTCATGGATGGCTGTATCATTAGTGGACGCAGTGTAGGTATTCTATGAAGAATGAGCGCGGTTTCTTCAATTCTTCTAGGGATAGCAAATATCGTATGTCAATGGCAACGCAACGCAATCTTCCCTAAGAACTATTATTAACCTTTGATACCAGCCTCAACCAAGTAGTAGAATTGTGCTTATTTTTACGGACTTCTATCATTCGTCACGGATATGTCCATGGCTGAAACTTCCCTGAGCCACGACAATGCTCATTTTTACACTCGATTGGGTGGAGCAAATTGCAAAGCATTCAGAGCATTGTGAATCACCACGAACAGTCAAACTCGGTGTTTCCAGGCCAGTATTTACCGTCAATTTTTGGGGTTTTCTTTTTGATGTGTTCCCACATGTGATCAGACGAACAACACGTATGGAGGGCACAATCTTCGCAAACATAAGAGACTTCCTCCAGAAATCGATCCAAAAACTGTTCAGGCCAGAACGTTTTTAAGAGAGCCGAATAAAGAGCCAACTTCGTCAAAACATAGATAGTCATGTGAACCCTTTAGGTGAAGTGCGTTCACCAAACATCGAATCCACACTGTCCTTTTGCGCTTCAGCAAGCCGATTTATTCCTGGCGTGTGTACCACTTTATTTATCCGTAAGGCGATGTCAGGGTCTACTACATTCGCTTCTAACTAGTTGAAATCAACGAGAGTTACTTTGATTTCTTCTCCGATTCATTGAAGAACTGGAGCCAGTAATTAATCACCCTGATGGACCGTCTGGGAACAACCTTACACCAATCCTAAGCAGCACTCACAAACGAAGAGAGCAAAAAAAACCAAACCCATGAACGAGCTGGGAAATGCAAGCCGAAATATGTATGGGGCGGAGGTGTGAAAAATGAGGAATGAAACGTTCTGGGCAATATTTTAAATGGAAATCAAATCAGATTGGCAGTGTCTGCAAAGCACTTAATCGTCTTTCCAGCCAGTACTAGCCATGGATCAGGATCTTATCGAAAACGGTACATAATCTTCCCATAATTAAGCGGTCTCAATAACAATCAGGGCAAACATAGAAAACATCCTACTGATACATTAATCGACAAAAAGATAGAATCAGCAGGAAATAGAAACACTCCTGTCTATGGTAGTATAAGCGGGTTAATCAAATTACAAAGCAAAACAAAAACCAAAGTCGAGAAAAAAGGCTCGCAATTCAGTTCATACCTAACACTTTCATATTTACTACACAAAGAGCACTTTTTCTTGCAAGCCAGCATCAGCTCCTCATCGAGCAGCATGACTGAACCAGAATTTCGTCACCGTGGGTGTGAGTACAATATAAAGGGTCTCCCGGGCATCTAGCTGGCCACTGCCGCTTATTTTCAAAAGCATAGATCACGATAAAATGGTTTCTGAAATTTTCCCTGGGATAAATCCGTGACTCCGACAATAGCGCACTGGACATTATCAGGGTGAAAACTCAAAGCTGCATTATTCACAGTGAAGCGTTAGGACGCCGACGAATAGTACGCTAATGTGGGAGACACACAGGCAGTTACAGACGGCGAGCTCGTACAACTCCCTCTTAAGCTATCTCCCTGGAGCCTTATGTGTGTTTAATCTGCGGATTTTCGCGTTTTCGCCGCGATATTTTCTCTATTCTGTATCATGACTTCCGTTATTTCACTTTTGCCTCAAATCTAACGTGTACTGCCCCTTCAAATCAATCAAAAGCAATAGCCGTGGGCCCAGTTCTACGATGGTTCATCACAGCTAAATCAAATGGGCAATTCATTAGATCCCAGGAGATTTACAAATTAAGATAACGATTTATGGATACAGGGAGATCAACATTATAGCATTTGAGAAACGGTCCAACCAACAACAATAACAGCCGTAATAGATTTGCACTGAGAGTTTTGATATTATTCGATATACTACTAGAGCATCAGTTGGTGATGGCTTCGTAGCTTCATTTCAGTTAGCAATGGAATCAGGGTTAAATCGCTTAATCGGCCTCTTAGGCAGAGCCAAATCTGAATTGTTGCCAACAAACCAAAAATGTACATACACAATAAGAAAAACCAAAGATTGGAATTGGCATATACAAAAAATAGCAATGTGCATACATCGAACCGATAAAAAGAGCTAAATACGAAGAGAGTAGCAAAACTTGCACGGATCGCTCCGCTTCTCTCGCATCTCTTTAATTTCATTTCTCGCTTTTCTGCTTTATTTTTCTACGACAGGAACTTTGTATGAAGGGCCCTCTTCCTCATTTATCAGATTTCGGAGTATGACTTTGGGCTACTCAACAGAACCGTGAGGAAGCTCGGTACGATTTTGTGTTGTACTCTCACGAGGTTGCTATTTCAAACTTTATTGACTACGTTTCGGCGACATCACTTTCTTTGGAGCCTGAAATATCAAAACAATAGTGCTTACCTGATCAAACGCCCTGCAGCCCTACTAAATTCGAGACCTTCCAGGGCACGCACGAAATTAATCAGCAAACAACCGATAGTGAGACCAGAGCCAGCTGGGTTAGGTCTCAAGACCGAATGTTCGTCAGTAAAGTTTAGTAGCAACTTCGTGAAAGCTCGACACAAAATCATATCAGGCTACAATCATGCCGAGTTCGTTGAAGTCCATAAGGAGAAGAGAGGAAGAGAAAGGCTAAAATCAGGTTGCAGAGACAAGTGTCGGGACTGCAAGCGATTGTTTGTGCCATTTTACCCGATCCGATAGTTTCCCGAAAATGGGAAACGAATGCGTAGGACGTATCCGAGGCGGTAAGTATTGAATAATATAGGAAAACGAACAAATGTAACATCAAGTACCCATAGAGACCAGAACAAGTCTAAGCACAGGAGCTTTAGGAAGTGAAAACAGAATTGAAAATTCCAAAGCAATAACAAGTCTTGCAAGAAGATTCTTGCGAAAAATATAATTTGAAATAATGGTGTCAACAGCTTTCAAAGTAGATAAAACTAACTTGTAACTGTGCAACAACAAAACTAGAGGAGAAGAAACTATTAAATTATCAGCTCAGCAGCTGTAACACCAAGTTTGGAGAAAAATGAAGGAAACTATAGGAGAGATGGGTTCATTGTTGACGCCCAAAAGTACTGCTCGCCACAAGCAGTAGGCGGTTGACTGACTCATCCACTGACATTTGGTCGACATTTGGATAGGATTTAGTCGACAATTTTTCGATATGTTCCATGATAGCGGTGGCATTGTTAATCACGCTATCACCGTAGGTCTTCATCCAGACGCTTACAGAACGAATTCTGGCACTCAACACGGCTGACAGCTTCGATGGAACTGCATGAGCAAGACGTTCGATGACCATGTTAAACTGAACAGAGAGACAAATACATATGCAATTAAATACGACCTTTTTTTGCAATAAAAACGCTCCATCCGAAAAGTAGTCCTGTTCAAATATGTTGGACTATCGAATCGACAATCGATTTCTCTACACAAGATTCGTCAGTAAAGCAGGACGGGCATGAGTGTCAAAAGGTGGAAAGGGAAAGAAGTATCTCAGTTGACATTTGAAACCATCGTGTATTAGGATTATCAAAAACTTTCGATAGGGTTTTTTTGAAAGTTCCTGAATCTCAATTATTCAACGATACCAAGCACATTCTATAGCCTCCTCCGTAATGAATATATATAGGCGCGCTTCTTCCTTTAGTTTAAATCACGATGTCAATTCACAAGACCATGTTCGACACTTTATCTCCTACGAGCGGCACCCAAACGACGGTTACCGCTCAAAACATCAACAGTGTATAGGGGAGAACACCATTTCTATCGCTACGGTCTATCGCTGGTTCGCTCGCTTCAAGGAAGGAGACACAAGCTTTGAAAACAAGCCTTAGTCGGAACGCCCCCTCGCCGTCGACGACTCCGTCGTACTCGGCACCGTCGAACAGGATCCGGAAGTCACCACCCGCAGCCCTGCGACGAAACTTGAATGACCAAAATCGACAGTTGTCGGTCGCCTTCAGGCCCTCGATTATAGAGAACTGCCGACTTGGTGGATACCTCTTGTCTGGGCAGATAGCATGCGGTACACCCGAGTGCTCATTTGTCTGACTCTCCTCCTCCGCTCACATTGCAAGGAGCTTTTGGAGGACCTAGTTACTGGAGATAAAAGCTGGATCCTCTATGGCGTTAACAAGCTCCGTGTGATCTGGCTCTCGCGAGAAAAACAGGCGAACCAAAACCGGTCTCCACAAGAAGCTTCACTTTGCTGTTTCTGGGATTCAAAGGGGATGTTATACCATAAACTGCACAGGCAAGGCCACACCGTTACCGCTCCCCATTGCTGATCGGCTGCAGAAACTTAGGGAAGCCGTTCGAGAAAACGGCTTAGACGAACTTTTGCTTGCCTCCCAACACTGGGCCTCACATAAGTAAAGAAACACATGTAAGATCGGGGGAGTTTAGCTGGATCACGGTTACACATCTACCCTATTCACATGATATTACCCCCGCAGATTACCACTTGTTACGGCCCCTTGAGGCTTTCCTGGCAAAAAAAAANAAAAAAAAACAATTCGTTAACTATGAGAACCTTGAAAAGTGCACTTCTTCTTTGATCTTTGACTTCTTTGACATCCAATCTTCCCTATTCTGGGAGAAGGGAACAGCTGACCTGCTCGTTAGGTGGGACAAACTTATAACTAACGATGGTTATTATGTTGTTGGTTAGCTTGCATTGTTTGCTAAGCTGCAAAATAAAACAGAAAAAATCTCAACTCTAGCGAAACTTTTCGATCAACCTAGCATAAAACAAGGTCGGAATGCGGAGATCGCGCTTGGTCTGCATCGCGGCGACGCTGATTCGGTAGCATAATTAGTTTGCTTGCTTCATGATACCATGGTAAAAAGGGGCTGATTTAAGGGCCTTTTTTACCGTTTCGAAACGTTTTTATTTGCTTTTCTTGGTTCTAGAGGTGAATAATGCCAGGCAGAGTATTAAAAATGCTTCAATCCAAAGAAAGACAACGTGTTCTAAAGTCGAGCACAGGTGTACGACATCCTATCACCGGGTGGGATCCCTTCATTGGCAGCGGTACTACGCTGCTCCGCATAAGATTATGAAACCCCTGCCCGAAAAACTCGTTGCTGTCGATGTGTCTGGGAAAGTCTTCGACCGAAAGTTGTGAAAATGTCATTCAAAGTTTGCATACCACACCATATTTTGTATAGAAAAGTACTAGGTTTTTTATTTTTATTTTTAAGGAAAGTCACAAAGGTATATCCGGCAGAAAGTTAGGTCCACCCTGTGTTTTCTCGCGTCCTCTCATTTTCGCTTGGTATAACTGTTCTCTTATCGTTAATGTGATGCTTTTATTTTCCAGGTCATGACTGAGGAAATCACTGTCGGTACTCTAAAAGGCAAAATTTTTGAAAAAATCACTCAAATTCGTCTAACCGACCTATCGCGCAGGATTTGGGTCATTGCTACGTCGTCCACGGATTCTTCAAGAGTTCTGGTGCTTATGGGACTAGAAAATCTACCGGACGTCCTCCACTGCTTTCGATTGAGATAAGCGTCGGATTCTACGAGAAACATCGAACTCAAGAAACCACGCGCGAAAATAAAATCTTTCTCGAACTCAATGTCTTCAAAGACATAGTTGATCGGGTGGTATCAGAGTCCAAGTTCATCGTTCGTCAAAGGATGAAGAAGGCTGTACTTATGGCAAAGAAACATCAAGAGAACCAATTCGATTCCGCAAGAAGACACATTTGACCTGACTGGAGGAAGGTAGCTGTTCCTTCCTAAGGTTCAATCTTCTTTTGTAGGAGTTTTTATAGTTAGATTATGTTTTCCGATGGAAAAAGTTATAATGCGACAGACCGAATGGCAATCGATGCTATTGGCATGATCTCAGAAAGGAGCAAAACATTTTTGCTATGATGGGACTTCAAAGGAGGCGTGTGCTGGTTTGTGGTTTGTAAGAGGCTGTAGGGCACGCACTCCTTTTTTGGTGCTAAAATAAGTGGCAAACTTTGTTTTTATGCAAGTCATTGCCCACATGCATGTCAGCCGAAGCTCCCGAACGTGGTTCATTCATCATCAAGATGCCCTTCTGAATTGGTCCGCGGTGAGTCCTACCCAATAGAGAACGTATGAGAGTTAATTGTGAGAAAGGTGTTCGCCGATAACTGCCAGTTTCGAGGCGTCAAGGAGCCACAATGAAAGCATGGCACTGAACTAACCATATGTTATCGACAATCTCTATGCAATCATGGACGATAGAATCTCCCAACTTATTCGGAGTAGTAAAGGGCCATTAGATTGGTAAATTTGTAATTATCGATTTTTGTTGATCTCTTTTTGCTATGCTAAATTTATTACTTTCTATTACTTTCTTAGGTGAACCCGTCTTGTTACGGAGTACGCTAGTCAGGAGCAAATGAACATGGAAAACAGCACTCTTCTTTCTGAAGAAGTCCTATGTTTTTCAGAGGTCTCGTATGCGAACTTCGATTAATACTTGTTACAACTTTCTATTGAAGACTTTCCAGAATTCATGAATTTTAGGGTCATTCATGGGTCGAGTATATTTACGCGGAGCAGCGCATAATAGTGAGCTACTCAAGGAATTTTTTGATAAAAGGATGAGAAGGTGAATTCTTTGGCATCAATCTCATTTTTGAGTTGTGTCCCACGTTTGACTTCTATTCGAGAGGTAGTGGCGTTTTGTATGAGTATTTAACCGGCACAACGACCTGGTGATCAGCTAGTATCCATACCAGTGTTTTATCCTCCAAAACGAGTCTGGTACATCGTAATGATGGAAGGCTTTGTTTGCTTGATGGATACCGACTTGGAATTGGCAGTCATGAACCATGCGTGCGGATTGGTGCAGCACTCGTCACAAGACCACTTCCGCTGTATTCAAAACCCAAATCAAAACACTGAAGTGATCTGCCATCTAATGTGAAGTAAGAAACCTGAGTGGTGTTAACTCATCAACATATGAAGACCCGCAGATAGACGGATTTCTTTTACTGGGTTATCGCTTACGAAGGATTTCAGACGTCTCAGTCCTCAAAGGGAACTAACACCAAATTAAGGGTAGGATGCGTGTCATCAACGGATGAAGATTTCCTTGCTCTTCTCTCTCCCTACGCACTTGACAGGACACAAGAACTATTGTAGACACCAAAATTCTCGTCGCGCTACATCTTCCCACAAAGTTGTGCCCAGGCAGTATGCCGATGGACGTATTTGCTTCAACCTAACTCCTATTAGTTGCAAAACCCCGTAGGAGTATATAGAATCAGATAGAAGCTAGAGACATTGTACGTGAACGTTATGAAGAAGATAGAGGAGTGGTCATGAAATAATTAGCTAATAGAGCAATACCATAGTTACACCATCAAAAAGCAACAAAATTTTGCGTGCTAACAAGCTCTGAGACTGAAGACTTGTTTATCACGTTGTTCGATCAATATTGACCTCCGTTGTGTAGTAGTCCAGCATTCATTGACAAATCGTTGCTAACATATTGATTGGTTACACTTTTTCTCTTTTTTCAGAACACAGTGGAGTTCCACAGGTAGTCAGAATCAGAAGTCAAATTCGTAATCAGAAGCAGGAGATGGTATCAGGGATTGTTTTCACTTTCAGTCATATTCCTGTTTTACTATAAATCGACGAATCTCTGAAGTTGATTTGTCCCATCCAGAACAATTTTTGTTGTAAATCAGGCGCACCGGGAACAAATCATGTCGGGAACACCTAATAGCATTCGAGGTTATTAAAAGCAGCCAAAGATAAACTTATATATATATATATATATATATATATATACATACATATATATATATACTGCGCAATTCATAGAGATCTTACCTTCATTAGTCAACGCTTCAAAAGCCACAGTTCACGATGAAAATGGCTTCTGAGTTCTCCCCATAAATGAGTCGAATGCCTTCTCGTATACCTTATCTGGCGCTAATAGGTCGGAAAACGGCGTAGTTAGGGCGTTATAAAGGTTTAAAGATTGCACCCTGTGTATCCACGGACAAGTTTTGCTAGCTCTGTAGAGGCTGCACCGATGACTAGAGAACCATTGTAGGATATTCAAACAACTTGTCGTGTCCAATAGCGACAGTGAGAGGTATTCTACAAAGTTCTGGCTAGTGCGGTCAGTTCTTTGCGCAGTTGCAACAAATAAAATCTCGTCCTAATACCCATTATATGTTATTTCCGTCATGATAATCCGATCTCTATTTTCCTTTCCTTTAGGGAGCCACATTTTCACGAAATTGGCGAATTCTTTCGCTTTCTTCACTACTGATGAACTATTCCCAACCTGTACCTCCGCTTTTTGAGTGAAAACGGTTACCTCAAAAGTATCATGAACTGAATGAAGACGCCAAATGCATGCTATGCAGTAAGTAATGATAAAAAGGTCATTGAGCCTACCATGGGTATGTCCTCCACTTTCACAATACCACGTGCGAGAGTTTGAAGAAAAAGTTCGACGGGGATTTTGTGATCTCGGACCCTGAAAAAAAGAATTGTGCACTCTCGCAACCTCCTGAGCTCTATCCTTTCAATACCGTGAAAGTTACAAAAAAAAAAACAGATTTGTGCATCTTTGAAGGAATTCCAAAAAATGGAGTTAAGTATGTAGAAGGTACAAAGGCGAATAGTCCACAGAATAAAAATTGACGGCACATTCCCTCCACGAATCAGGATGTCCACCCCATCCGTCAAGGAAGGCTGGCTAGGAATTTTTCAAGCTTACCGTACAGTTAAGCTTTTATCATTTGCATCCAGTGAATTGACCAACAATGAATATTGTTTGTTTCATCGAACGTGAACATACTTCATGTGTATCCAGGATAATTTCGATTCAAGCTTCCAGCCATCAGATTGGAATTGACTCGGAGCTTGACATTTCCTTCATTTTCTCTCCTCAGCCTTTGTCAAGCGCCTCGTAGGTCTGCACCTATTACTTGTCATCGACAATCAGTATCTTCAGTTCCTAACATGCAATATCCATTTGGATGACTCCATTCCTTCTCTGAACTGATCCATTGCAACTTGACATGAATTTCAATGTCAG